TGGGTTCCCATTGGGGAAGAAATTTTCATCTTGTGTGTCAAAAAAATCATCAACAGCAGATATGATACCATCATCACTGTGATACTGGATCCCAGCCAAGTATTTTTTCATGTCAGATGAGGCCAAATAAAGAGAATAGGGAGGGTGATCAACCAGTTCAAAGCCACAGTCATGCACAACAGCCATTGAAACAAAGACACCTCTCATCAGTTTTCCTTGGTTTTTGGTCTTGATAGCCTTTTGTAACTGCCTCAGCAAGTTGGCATAGTTCTCTCCATTGATAATGTGGCACTTTTCAAGATTAATAAACACAATGTCTTTTGCATCCCCAAAAATTTAAGGCAATCACCTTCCCTGCAGATGAAAGAACCTTGGCCTTCATTGGAGCAGGTGAGGAGGAGCATTTCCACTGCATGGATTATCTCTTTGTCTCTGGCTCAAAGTGATGAATCCAACATTCATTCTGGGTTAGGAAATGTTCAAGAAAACCAGCTGGATTTGTCAGATTTTCCCATGATGAGTGCACTTTTTTCAAAAGACATGGCACCTACCAAACAAAAACCTTTGTCATGCCAAGTTCATTGTGCAGAATATTCTCAACTCTCTCATTGGATTTGCTAATAGTGTTGGTAATTTGATTTATAGTCAATCGCTTGTTATCCATCACCATATAGTGCACACAATCAATGTTTTCTTCAGAGGTGGCAGATGTCCAGAAATTGGATCAACTTCAAAACCCTCCCTTCCCCTCCTAAATTCAGTTGCCCACTTTTGCACTATTGATAAATCTGGAGAATTTTCCCCTAATGTATCAACCATGTCAACATAAATGTTCTTGGTGGTTAAACACTTTTTCTGCAGTTACTTGATAACACTATGATGTCAAATTATGTCCATTTGCAAGTGAAGTCACTACTAGTTACTTTTGAAGTCTTGCTTTTACAGTCAGATGTCAGTTTACCTAGAAAGAATCAATGCAGTTATTAATAAGAAGAGTTGAAATTAATGCATACAAGATTTCCCAGTTCTAGCATCACTCTTTTATAGTCAGCCTATGAACTTTACAGTCTATCCTCATGCCTGGAGAGAATCAATGCAGTTATTAATAAGAAGAGTTGAAATTAATGCATGCAAGATTTCACAGCTCTAGCATCACTACTTTATAGGCTATGAACTTTTCAGCCTACCCCTGTACCTGGAAAGAAATAATGCAGTTAAGAATTGAAATTAATGCATGCAAGATTTCACAGCTCTAGAATTATTCCTTCATAGTTTATGACTTTTCAGTCCCCCATCATATGTTTTTCAGATAGAATTATATAAGCTTCACATTCTAATATTATAAAATATTCTAGTAAGTGGAAATGTTATTTTAGTTCAAAGATCAATGACAAATGATTAAAATGTTATATACCCTAAAATATGATTGCTAATGAACTCTCATTTTATTAGTAATTGTGTTTATTGCATACCATATCACATTTTATTTATATTTTTATAAAATTAGTCTAATCACTGACACCAAATCACAATTGTCAATAGGAAATAAAACTCATATTAAACAGTCTAAAACACACACACACATATACATGTAGTAATAGGTAGACATCACTATGAGAACATTATTTTAATGAGAAGTGTAAAAAATCTACATCTAAGCAACTGTTCACTTCAAATAATACAAATAGTTGCTGTGTTGATGATTAAAGAATGATTTTTTCTGTATCTGCAGGGTCTGTCTACCCTGATTAAAAATTAAAATCCGAGTTTTGTGCCCACAAATACAAGATAATGCAAAGAAATGATTTTTTTACATAAGCAAAAAGGAAAACCAGATTGAAATAATCATATGTTTATATACATATTAACTTTTTTTTTACATGGTCAACATTGTGTTTGTTCTGATTGTAAAAAATCAAAGGTCAAATGTTCAACAAAGTTTTTCATTTGTTAAAATATAGTTCATAAGGTTATATGCCTTGGTCAGTATAAAGCGTGTATATATGTGCATGTGTCTGAAACACATTTTAATAGAGTGTATGTGTGGCTGCTGACTTTATGTGTGTGTGGGTGAAACACATGAGTAGAAATGTATGTGTGTGTGAGTGCTAATATGTAAAACCTGATTATGGTGGTTCCAAAATGAAATAGAGACACAGACAGATGATCAGGCTTACTTTTTTCCACTGCTATGTATATTTCTTTGAGTTGTGTGAATATTCCTTTGGATGGTGTGCAGTCACTGCTGACTGAGGTGTTGTCATGGTAACATAAGAATTCTGGTCAGGTGTTTACAGATTCAACCACCTGTCATCAACAGGTGAGACACATACAGTTGCTGACTGGGTTTTTACTCTGTGTGTTTTTATTGCCCCTGAAATTGGTGTATATATAGTTATCCTGATCACATTATTGGCTCCAAATGAAAGCTTTTCAGTTTACATGTGATAGCACCCAGTGACCAGGTCATTTGGAATTCAAACTTAGTCAGAAACATAGCATATGATTGTACTATCCAATCAAATTCCAGAAACCACTTATTTAATTGGATCCTATTTTGTTAGTGATTTATAGAAAAGTTTTTTGTTTTAGTGATTCTGATCCTATTTGTATATGGGCATTTCTTACTTATTTGTGCTTCACCTATTGGTTGTAAAATATAGGATTTTATATCCTATACATCGAACAGTGTGCTAAATAGGTCAAATAGGATGAATTTTTTAAAAATCATTTCACTCCACGTAAGGCAATAAAGCCACTAAGATGCAAGGGGTTACTGAGTGTTAAAGAATGAGAAAAAGTAAAACATTATTAATGAGAGAGAACAATAAAAGAACAAGAATTAAGAAGACAGAAGATAATGAATACATTTTTAAAGATCAAAGTTGACTGGAGAGAAACAAGGAAGAAGTTTGAGAGAAACTGTCAGCATAGAACTTACAGTTACATTTTGCAAATTCAATTGTAAAATGATGAGACTTAGTTTCTAATCTAGTACTAGCGCTTTGTAAAATAGCAAAGAAGAAAGCTTATCAGAAAAAATCACCTTGAAAATATTTATAAAAGCCGCTGGAAAGTTATATTATGGTGGTGGGAAAGTGACTGAAGCCAAAATACCAGGTCAGGACAGATAAAATTGCAGATTATCTCAGATAACATTGAAGATTTTATCATGAATCTCTAAATAAATACATAGTAGAAGCACCAGCCCTGATGTGGCAGCAACATTCATTGCATGGAGAATGGTAAATTTATAAATGTTTAAGAGATTCTGGCAAGAAAAATTGTCTAGAATGACACAGCAAACCAACTTTCTTCCCAGCAGAATTAGATAAAATAGATTTTTTAAAACTACTTAATTTAAAAATAGTTCTTAATTACACACTAATAAAAAGAAGTAACGTTTTTATTTTTTAATTCTGATATTCTGAAAGTTTTCTTGTAAGGGTACAAAGTTTTTTGCCCTGTGGCAAAGCAAGTATAAGTGTCAATTTTTTTTAGAGGTGTGTCGGTACTACCCGACCGCGTGCATGCATACGTATGTTTGCAAAATTGGTTATTGATTGATTGATCTTTGCGATTCTTTTCAAAAGGAACAATTATATGGTCGATCATGTTATTTCTTTTGTTGTTAAAAATTATTCGTTATATTTCTTTTTTTTCTCTCCTAATATCCACTCTAACTTGCCCCATCTGTTTCATTTCCTTCCTCCACAGCTGCTAATCATATGGTGCAAATGACTATGTGTAACTTAATAAATGTGAAACAAGATACTTCGCCTATAATTGTAAATGATACGACTTTTCAAAATGAAATATAGTAACAAAATTTCATTGTTTACAACTAAGATTACGATACAAAATAACGTAGCTGACACACGTGTCGAAAAACAAAGAAACGTTTTTAAAATCACTACTTAACGCAAGCACGCCGATGTAACTGGGTGGTAAGAAAGAGATAATTCTTGAAAGAATGTATAACTAAAAAAAAAAAAAAATGTAATGGTTTACTTTAAATTTTAAAATCATTCGAACATCTTCCTCTCCCTCGCTCGCTATGATTTCTTATTTTATCTCTCTCATTCTGTCTATATTATCGTACACAAAAATCTCTTTCAGTAGCAGTAGTAATATTGATAGTATGTCTCGAATACAGGAATATAACTTTTTTTACGTACATATGTAGGTATGAATGTTGACTCGCTAAGCACTAAATAGTGCTTTTATTTTTCTTCTTCTTCTACATTAGTATATAAACATATGTGTTTATTATTGGAGAAATGTATTCTTTAAAGCACGCATTTGACTTTTTCACTCGATATTCGTTATTGTTTGGTTTCAAGGAGGAAGTGAAAAAAAGAAGTCAGTGCTAGTATAAAATAGCACGTGCACAAAACCTTCTCTTTCTCTCTCTTCATTGACTTACCCCTGTTACCCTGTGTATTATTATTATTATAAATATATAGTCTGTAGGTTTTAATTTCTTCGTCTCGACAATGGGGTGGGGCGTGGACTTTTTAAAAGAATCCGCATAGAGGGAAATAGGAAAAAGAGGAAGTAACACTTATCAAGCCATTACATTTACAAACTTATTCTTTCTTTCTCTCTTTCTCTCTTTGCGTTTTATACACACACGTTATTATTAACTTTTGTTTTTAGTCCGACTCGATATTGTTATGATTCGGCGCATAAAATTATTTGCGCATACACATCAGATATGTATTCCAGTTTTTAACACTTTTTTGTGGAATACAAAAACGTTTTTTTACTTTTACAATACATACACACGAATCTCACATTTTCTTCTCATATAAACACACCCATATTATAATTTACAAGCGCTACCAGAAGCACAACTGTCTCTACGTCCATATATAATATGTGTGTGTGTATGTATTTTTGTTACTTATCTTTGTTCTATTGAATGCAGAAGCGAGTGTTGTTAGATTGAATTTGAAACAAAGACGAAAGGAGTGGATGCTTAACAATAACACGATGAGATGACGAAGAATTTGGAATCAGATTATGGAGAAAATGTCTTCAAAGCTCTCATGCAGATAGGACCACTACTACCCCTAGTCCTTCATCACACAACTTACAGGTATGTTTAAAAATGAAGAGAAAAAATGTGTCGCGAGGAGGAAGAATAAGAAGTAAAGTCAAAAAAGAGAACCGACTTGATTATTAATTTTATAAATCTTACTTACAGTTTTAAATTTTTGCCCAACCCGTCTTTAAAAGTAAACTTTGTAATTTTAGTATTTTAAATTACTTCTTGTAGTAATTTTATTTTTTAATCGACTTAATTTTAAACCCATATGATGATACAAAACAAGAAGTTCATTCTTTTTTTAATGTTTTAATATTCATAATTTTCATTTGGTCCTCCTTGTGATCCGCCAATAATGTCACTTTTTTTTAAAATTAAAATTATTATGGTCCTCTTGAAGTCATGGTTCATTGATTTCATTTAAGGAATACCTACCCATCTGATTGGAGTATGTAATTCAATTGTCTTTTGTCTGATTTACATGCATGTCAATTATTTTATTGTCTGCCTCTTTTGTTAAAACTAAAATCGTTTCTTTTTCTCTTAAAGTGTCATACAATAAACGTCGCAGCAATTAGTTGCCTTCTTAATTACTTTAATTACTACAATACAAACCATCAATTTTTTTTATTGTCCGAGTTTCTATATTTCATCGACCGCCAAATTATTCTCCTCCTCACCCCTCAAAATAAGTATATTATTTTAGTACTTAAGTAAAACGTGCAAGCTATTTTTAAAAAGTATGGGCAATTTCTAATAATCTGTCTTTATGTACTTTTAATTGAATTATTTGGGCGTGTAACTTTTATTTATTTATTTTTTTTACACTTAATTTTTAATAAAACTTTCCCACGGTTCAGTTTTTACTAAAATTGATTCCAGGTTAGAATTGATTAAAGCGATGAAGGATAGTTCTTGGCATTTGTCTACCGTGTTAATTTTTTACAAGCATTCCAAATATGACATTAAAACAAGTTAACCAATAAAAACAAAAGAATAAGATGAACTCTCTAATTAAAAGCTCGCGCTATTCATAACTACGGATGCTCAAAATGGCAATTTCCATTTTTCTTTCTTTCTTTTTAAATGTTTCTAAATTAATGTTTTGTTCAGTGTTAATGATTTGATATATCTGATATAATCGAAAACATTTATCGAGGCTGAACAGTCTTTAAAAAAAATGACGACATCCTTCTTGACTATTATTTTTTAGTGTTTTAAGTTTTAACAGTTTTTGAATTAAAAATGCTAATAATAACTTCTATTTTTTAATTTAATAATTTACAGCACAGTACTGGCATTTTTTCACAGCTGATCACTTAATAGCATTAATAATAAACATTGAATAACTTTAAGAAAATTAAAATAATCAATAATTTAGGAATTAGTTAAAAAGTTTACTTTTTTGTACTTATTTTTTTATTTATTTTTTTTTTTACCTTCCCATTGAACTTTGGATGTTGCTGATTTGTTGAAGTCATTAAGAATAAAAGGATTCTTAATAAGTCTTAGAATAATTTTTAAAGAATAAAGATATTCTATTTTCTATTTGAAATTTTTAGACGGTAATTAAAAAATCGTTGATTTGAATAGAAATAATTCTTTCTATTCCTGTCATGTCATAATTACAAACTTAAGTGTTGATTGATCAATCTAATTTCCAAAGATAATTCCTGATTTTATTATAACGTAGATTTTTAAAAATTCCCCTCGTAGTGCATGCCTGGCCCTTCTGTTTACAATTACACACTTAATACTAGGTAGGGACGTAGATATTGTTTTGGTAATTTAATTTGTTATTTTGTTTTAAATAAATTAATAGATTTACTTTTATTACAATTCCTGTTAATGTTTTTTTTTTTTTTTTATAAAAATCTATTATGCAAGTAAGTCAAAATAATATCTAATTATTTTTATAGTTACCGGGACAAAGTCACAAAAATATAAATAAATTTAAATATTTTTTTAGCGATCTATGGAATCATTTTTAAAGAAAATATCACACTTTGTATTTTAGTAGGTTTGACGTCAACTTTTCAGTTTTGATTTTAAAAGTAAAACGAAAATAAATTGTTATTAAAAAAAACTAAAGTGCGCGAGTTTATTTTTTGTTTATACGGCAAACGTAAACAAATTAATGAATATTTTTAATTTTTTATGCAACTGGCAGTTATGGAAACATTTGACAGTCATAAATTCGGGTTCTACCCAGTTAACTTAAATCGCTTATAACTCTAATTTGAAATTTAAAAAAAGTTAGAAATTTTAGTAATTGATGTTTTTTTATGGTACTATAAAGAAACGAAAAAAAAATCCATGGAGATGAGTTATGTTTACTTTAATCACGTAACTAATCTGTAAATAAAAATAAATTACAAGTTCTGTTGCTTTATTTAAATTCCTATTTCATCGATTTAGTTTTTTAGATTAATTTTTTACAAATAATTACTCTATGACCGATCTAAATTTGGAAAAATAACAAAAAAAAAAATACTTTTTTTTTTTTTTTTTTTTGAAACTAGTACACTGCCACTAACATTACTTATTTACTAGTTAGAAGAAATTCCATTCAGAAGATGAAAGCGTGCCAATCTTACAAAAAAGCCCATCTAAAAAATCAGCATTCAATATTCCTGGGCTTGAACACCGACCGACTGTTCTTAGTACCGGTGAGAAATATGTAGCCCTCAGATACAACACAGCCCTTCTTATAACCAAAGGAAAGCCAATCAATAATTCATAAGTTGTCATTTGAGCAATTAATTAGAAGTGTTTTAGTACGATAAAAATTTTTTAAAAATTAGTTTGAATTTTTGAAGTGATTAATTTCGATGTCCGTATAAGTGTCAACCTCCTTGATTAAAAAATAATGTTTTTAAAAATAAAAAAAATCATAATTCCTTTCATTGATATTTTTTATTTTATTTTTTAAGAGTTTTGTAATCTTAATTATTTTTAATTTTAAATTTAACAAAAATAATCTTTTATTTTCTTTAAAAAAGGCAACGAAATACGTAACTATTTTTATTTTATTTATTTATTTTTTTAGAACATTACTTGTATTAAGTAATCAAAATCCCAAATCATTTTTATTTTTTGCAATAATTATTTTTCTAAATGTTTGGGTTCAATCTTTTTATCAATTGCAAAAACTAATATCAATTTCTTATTGATTTATCAGCAGTTCAATAATTAATTGATCCATATCACTTCGTGAAAATTATTAATTACATACAGTGACTAGTATTTTTTCTTTTTTACAGATTTTTTTTTTTATTTAATGAGCAATTATTGTCACTTGTAATATTTCAAAATATCATTTTATGATTTTTTTTTATCGATTATGGCATATGCCATTTAAAAAAAAAAACATTTTCTACTTCTAAGTACAACCAGATAAAAAATCAAAATATAATTTTTTTTTTTTTTTTCAAACGTTTGTAAGGGACTTTTTTAGTCATACTGTGGCACTAATTTTTTTTTCATTCTCGAAACAAATTGTGTGCATGACACGCAGATCCACACGTTTTTGCTGTGTTGTGTATGTGTACTTCACTTGTGAATTTATTACGTGTGTGTTAGTTTAAAAAAGTGCCTTTATGGATGTATTGTAGCCAATGTCACTGGGTATTTGTCACACCACAAGGCTAAATGTGTCACAGGGTTGAATACCAACATACCACTCGAGGTCGCATAGTTGGTTATTCAGAAAGAAATGGCTTAGTTCTCTTAACTATTGCTGCAAACATCAGGGTGGGCACTTTTTCTTTCCTTTGTGGGTTGGAGTAGGCGGTACTTGAGCCCCGGGCAACAGACCAGTTAATTTTGTTTTCAACCTCCTGAAAGGTTACTGACCTTGTTTTGAAAGTCCTGTAATTATGATAACTTGACTTTGGTGACACCACCCCAATCCCCACCATCTCAACCAGTCTCTCTTTTGGATTTACTCAACCTTTCATCAGAATTTGAAAATGAAAAGTAACTGTTTGTCTCTTGAATTTTTAACATATGCTTATGCAACTTCCTGAAAAACTCAAGTGATATATAATGATAAAAAATGTAGCATTGAAATATGCTATATTTATTGGAAAAAGTGTTCAGTATCATGGATTGTGTGTGTGTCTACATAAATATAAGAGTGTCTGCTGAGGTCAACATCCAATACTGACATTCAAGAATGAAACCCTGTTAACACTTGCTGTTGTTCAGTGTTCACTTATATCTCTCTTATAATCTGCATACGGTCACTGAAGTTGAGTCAGTACCTAGATGAGTGATTGTTAAGAGAAAACCAGGTGCTGTAAAGTTGAATGTTTTGGATGGTTTAATTATTAATTGGAGATTCCAATTCCAATTGGGTTTGTTATATATACACTTGCATCATTGGGAAAAGTAAGAATCCACCTTTTCTCCACTTAAATATGGGTCAATTAGTAAGACTTGTATCAAACAATTATCTTTAAAAAATTCTTGCAATCTAAAAATATTTTCTGGCTTTAGATGACATACAAAAGGTCAATATGCTGTAGGAAATCAATCAATCAAAACAAATGTATTTTTTAAATTTCATTTCATAAATGGCAGTGAACTGTCTTAAGTTGGTATGGTTATTTTAATTACAATTTAATATTGAATAAATAATCATAAAGCTGGTTTTGCTCTTAAAATATTTCAAAATAAGTTTTTTATATGATTTAAATCAATGTCTGTTACTTGTTGGTATTAAACTATAGGTGTTTGTTTGTTTGTTTGGTTTTTTTTTGGTTTTTTTTTGGAAGCTTCAACATCTGTCCTAATCTCATTGAGATTACTTTTCTACCATTCCTGTTGACATAGCTCTGAGACTGGCTTTTTAGATATGAATGCCATTAAGACGATATTGAAAAGTACTGTTAATATCCATTCTCAATTGTGTTACATTGTTTTCATTTGAACCAAAATTAGATAACAAAAAAGGCTCATCTTTCACATTAGAAACATACCTACATATTTAGGATTGTTTTTAAGCTACTTTACTCAGTTTATTAAAATAGATTTAGAATGTTATTGAT